AGTTAAACTTATTTCGAAATGATTTTTAACTTCGGCCCGACGTTTCGGATGCTTTGCGGCAGCCGTGATCACGGGGAAACGTCGGGGAAAATGTGTACTACTCGCGTAAACTATAGACAGTATTTATCCATATATATTTTCCAAAGTAACTTCTAGTATTTTTAAATCCACGTATTACTTAAAACAATGTAGGGTGATCGTCCCATTTCGGTTAAGTTTCCATGAAATTTAATTTCGGTTTTCCACTAACCTTTTATTACAGCATTATAGGGTTAGTCGGTTTTGATCTTGTTACGTATATGGGGCAGGTTATCCCTTAACTCGCCTTATCCCTTTTAAATTATAGGGGTGTGTCATACGTGGAAATCTATAACAAATGGCGCTTCTGTGAAGGGACTTTATATTATAATTCAGTATACATTATCATATCATAAACGTGTGAAAGACAATATGTTAAAAAATATCTACATGAGAACTATGCAACACGTTTTTTTAGTTAAAATATTATCACACTATTTAAGAATACTTACAATTAGATTTAAAATGAATACTTTAATTAATTTTATTTGAATAGATTATGTTTAGGCTTGTTAAAGTGGCCATTTACTAGTACAAATAAAGAGGTCAAATTTAGTTAACATTATTTAAAAAGTGGTACAAAAATGGAAAGAGATAAAAAAAATCAAAATTCAATAAGACACAACTGCAGAAGCAGACGATCATTTCAAGGGCTTTCTTGAGTTCTTATATGGGGATAAGATTCGTTAAGTCGCGCGTTACTAAAATTTAAGTTATCATTTCTGTTAAGCGTCCGAAATGCACATTTTTATATTTATATGTGTACGCAACGGATGCCCCCCAAAAAAATGAATAACTAACCCCGTTTGTTTCTACGTACACGTATAGAGTTTTACGAGTACATAGCTTAAAGCTTTCCATAATTAACGGTAATTTTATTCAACTGATTCTTTTTATTTCGAACAAGTAGTTCCTGAGATTAGCACGTTTAAACAAACTCGACTTTATTATATTAGTTTCGATGTTAAGACAACTTAACGAGGCAATTCCCTAAAAGTATGAGTCGCGTAATAAATTCGCAGCCGGGTCAAGTACAAATAGAGTTAAGAAAATTCGCAACATAAAGTATGTCTTTGCCCAAATTTCTTAAAGGCCTCCTTGAGCTTTATGAAAATTACGAGATTTACAACGTTTAAACTTTAATATTTCGTTTTATTACTGAGCGAAATTAGAAAATTTGACTGCGGGGAACCGTTTTATACACTCGTAAACATAAATATGATGTCATATTTGTAATTCTTTCTTCCCTAAAGATATATTTTTACTTATATAAGTAATGCAATCATGTACAATAACATGTAAATAACATTAAAATGTTACGTACTGCCCGATGTTTTGCAGCAGCCGTGGTCACGGGAGGACTGAAGATGGAACTTGTCTCGAATGTCAAAGTGGTATTTGAAAAAACTACCTGAACTGACTCACGGTGTCCTCTCATTTCTCGGTATGCCGTTTTTGGGATCTAGTGTTTTATTTGGCGTTTTAAACCGTTCAAAGTGTAAATTAAAAATCGATTATAAATTGTAAAATTTACGACATTGAAATGTCTTGAAATGGCATCCACAGCGTTCCGTACTGTTGTTCTACCCATTTGAGCTAGCGTGTCCACGTAGGTTTTTTTATTGTATAATCAATTTTTAATTTATATATTGCCATCATATTGTGCAATATAACGTGTAAAAAATATTAAGGTTTTCAAACGTTTACAGTGTTTTATTTAAATCTGTACTAATCGCGTAAACTTCAGACATTACTTTAATTCGTTTTTAACTACTTTTAATGCTTTTAATAATGGTAACTAATGAAAGTATGTATGTTAGTTTTGTTATTACCTTGGAAATTCTTGCTTGATATTGCGTTCGTCGTAGTCGTCCGTACAAAGCCTGCGTCTTCTAGTGTTATAATAACCATTGGGAAGTTGCATTATACTACATTAAGGCAAACTGCAGGATTATAGTCCTTGCTTCTCCCAGCTCATTAGCTAATATTCGGTCGTTATAGTAAATGTCACAGCACATTCACGCCTTATGTTTATCTGTTGCAATTAGTTAAGAGTATAAAATTATCTTGCAAACATTAATACAATCAGTCTATATAATTTTTTAGGGTAATTTGCATGAGTGTATGTGAAATCTCGTTTCACTGATCCGATCTTTAACTGGCAAGTATTTGATCAGACTTAGAAACAGAGTTAGAAACATTTTATATCTGCTGGGGATCGAACTTACGAAGCGTGGATTAGCCGTACGTAGCTACCATTAGACCAACGAGCTCGTTAAATTTGAACAGATTTGCTTCGAAATCAATGTTTTGCTGCCTACCTGTAAAACATTGATCAAAAAACGATTATACATTGAAAAAATTACGACCCGGGCAAGACTTGAACCGGCATCCACATCGTATCGTGCTGTTTCTCTAACCAATTGAGCTAACGAGTCCTACACGCCGTCGTCCAGTTTTTTTTTCAACTAATAATCGATTTTTAATTTATATAGCGCCGTCATGTGCAATATAACATGTGAAAAATATAAAAATATTCAAAAGTTGAAGTTCTCTGCATCTTCAGCATTTATTTTTGCATCAACAGTCAAAACGTTTCCACTTCTTCAGTTGTACATAGAACGATAAATCATGGCGTCTGTTACGTTCGACTGCGTCACGTGATTGTCACGCGTGTGTTGACGACTTAATTGATGTCCCGCGGGACTACGGGACAGGTCGATTTCATATTTTGCTCTAGGGCAGCTTGTGTCGCTATGTGAATAACAGCAGTTTGAAAATGGGTTGGCGAAATGTTTTTAGTAACAAATATAGTACTGAACACAAAATTTCAGGTTGTCTGGAAGAGATCGCTTGATAGCGATAAGGCCACCCCTTGCACTCCATTTTAGCAAGTTATATCTGCATTATAATTTTCTTTTTTGTGCAATAAATAAGTAATGCACCATTTTACTATCCTGATGTAATGCACACTTTTAATTCACTGGCCGAGGCACTTTAGTTCAAAGTAGAAAAATTAAATTAAAACATATGGAAATAAAACACTTAAACAGTTTAAAACACGATATATTAGTTAAACTTGTTTGAAAATTATGCAAAGCATCCGAAACTTTGGGCTATAGTTAAAAATAATTTTTAAACAAGTTTAACTAAAATATATCGTGTTTTAAGTGTTTTATTTAAATGTGTACTACTCGCGTAAACTACGACAGTATTTAAAAATAAATAGAAAATTCGAGGCAATTGTGGTATTTTGATTGAGGATATAGAATTGTCATTTAGGATTAAGATTTTAAATGCACCAAAATTATAACAACTAAACACATTAACTAAAAATGTTTACAGTCTCACCAATATCCTAGGTTCTTTGTTTAATTTGTCAGTCAGCTGTCAGCCTCCGCACGGGCTTGATGTGTCCTTCGTACTGTTGTCTTTTTAACTCACTCAATAAGGAATTTAGTATTATAACTAATAATAATAGAAGTGTTGTGTGTAAATTGCTAGATTATAAACTTAAAGTGTAATCAACTAGTATTCTGTAGCTGTATTCTGCCTTTGTCTCGGTGTATTTACGAGTGCTGTAAAGGAATTTTCTATATTATCGGACGAGCAGTAAACAAACCGATTTCGTCGGCCGCGCAGTTATCTTTTCGTGTTCTTCAAGTGTCATTGCAAAATTGTAACAATGCTGTGTAAAGCCTGCAATTGTGCTGTAAGCATAAACGAAATTTTGAAATGCTCACATTGTGCGGAAATTTTTCACCATGGCTGTGTAAACATAACGCCCAAAAAATATAAGAAATTCCTTGCGAGTGGTGCGCGGCAGTGGATCTGTCCGATTTGTGATATCAAATATAAATATTTAAAGGGCGATAATACGCCAGTTCGCTCGCAAGTTACCCGCATACAATTGTCGGCTGACCAAACCGAGTCTAATACTCCATCTGGATCGCCACCTTTGCCTCCTGCTCGGTTAGACGTCTCCACCATGTCCATTGAGGACTCGCATGTTGTTGATATTTCGTGCAACCAACAAGATGTGATTTCATTTGATAAGTTTAGCGCACTAATAGATCAGAAACTCGAAGGTATTAAATATAGTCTAATTAACGAGATTGAAACCAGATTGCACACTATTAAGTCGTCTTTGATGAGCGACATCACGTCTAAAATGAAGGATGAGTGTGCCTCAGTTACCCAGGCACTAAAAGACGACCTAAACCGGACAACGGAGTACCTGGTTGGTGAACAGAAGGACTTGCGGAAGGCGCTTGAGACTGCTGAGGAAAGGATTGTGGCTTTAGAAAAAGATAAACTGGAGTCCGAGTCCCTTTTTAAAAATATGCGTCGGCAGATGGATGCTCTTGACAAGGCGTCTCGAAGCCGTAATTTGGAAATACAGTGCATACCGCAGAAGCGGAATGAGAACTTGATTTTTATATTTAAATCATTGTGCGACTTAATTGGCCACCCCATGTCAGAAGGCGATATCTCTTCAATCAAGAGAGTAGCATCGCTCAACCCTAACTCAGAACGCCCACGCAATATTATTGTCAGTCTACCCTCAACTCGACACCGCGATTCAATAATATCAGCATTTAAAAATTATAACAAGAAGAACCCTGTTACCTCTGTCCACCTCCATATCCCAGGGCCTGCAAATCGTTTATTTATTGCTGAACACCACTCCTCCACTTGTAAAGCCATTTTCGCAGCTGCAAGAAAAGCTTGCAAAGAGAAGAAATATAAATATTGTTGGGTCAAGGACGAACGTGTGTATGTCAGAAAAGAAGATGGGGGGGTGCCCTTTATATTAGGTTAGAATTTGTGTCTAAAATAGTTTAATGCTGATTTTCTTTTCTTTTTTCTTATATTGTAATTTTACTACTTAAGAACCGTAATATTAAATTTAGCAATTAATAATGGAAGTTTACTACCAAAATGTAAATAGAATTAGGTCTAAAACTACTGATTTATTTTTAAATGTGTTAAATTCAAGTTATGACTTAATTTGTCTTACTGAAACAAACCTCACTCAGGGGGTTTTTAATAGCGAGGTGTTTGATAATAGATATTTAGTATACCGAAAGGATCGCTACTCATCTTGTTCAAGTAAACGAGATGGCGGTGGAGTGCTCATAGCTGTAAAAAATAATATCCATGCAATTCGCCTAGAACATTACGAGAGCGTGTATGAAGATTTATGGATATCTGTAAATCTGAACAATTCTTCTCTGAATGGCCTACTGATATGTGTTTGCTACTTGCCTCCAGACCTGACTAAAGAGGATTTGAATAGTTACTATAGCCATTTACAAGATTTTGTACTTCACAAAGCGAACAATAGGCATGTCCTAATATTAGGTGATTTCAACACGCACAATCTCAGTTGGCTTGAGGTTAATCCTAATTCCTATCAACCTATTGACCCCTCTGACACCAAAGCACGTCTTCTCTCTGAATCGGTTTATCTGTGCAATTTGTATCAGTTTAACCATATAGCAAATATTAATAATCGACTTCTTGATCTTGTCTTTTCTTCTTTTGACGCCATTGAAGTTGTTGCTGCAGAACCACTATCGCGCATTGATTTACATCATCCTCCACTTTTAATACAACTCAAATTAAAAAGTGATGCACGTTCTAATCTCATGCGCAATACAACAGCTCACTTTAATTTCCTAAAAAGTAATTATTCTTGTATTAAATCTAGCTTGGCTGCGATTGATTGGTTCACTGTATTAGGAAATTTCGAAAACATTGATCTGTTAGTCAAAAAATTTTACTCAATTTTGCATGATATTAATGTCCAATTTACCCCCTTAACATATACTAAACAATCTACTTTTCCCCATTGGTACAATAAAGAATTAAAAAAATTGATCAAAAATAAAGCTCGATTACACAAGCGTTATAAAAAATTTAAAAATCCTCGAGATTACGATGAGTTCTCTCTTCTACGAGTTCGTTGCAAAAACCTACTTAAGGATTGTTATAATTCTTATATACGCGATACAGAACTGTCTCTGAAGGAAGACATGAAATTCTTCTGGAGATATGTTAACAGCAAAAAAGACTCCAAAGGAGTTCCGAACACAATGAATCTTGGTAAGAAATGCGCCTTCTCTGGTCAAGATATTTGTAATCTCCTGTCTGAGTACTTTTCATCTGTGTATCAGGAACCGTCTATTACTAATTTAACATACTATTCCGTTCCCTCGAATATCAATATTGTGGGTTGCCTGTCACACATTAAATTAGATAAAAGTAATGTTTTATCAGGATTAAAAAAACTCGACCCCAATAAGGCTGCCGGTCCCGATGGCATCCCACCACGGTTCCTGAAAGAATGCGCAGACGAACTCTCTGCACCAATTTCTTTTATTTTTAATGCTTCTTTGAGCAATGGTATCTTTCCAACGTTGTGGAAATCAGCTTACATAGTGCCAATTCTCAAAAGTGGTGATGCTACCAAATGTGAAAATTATCGGCCAATAAGCATGTTATCAACTCTAGCTAAATTATTCGAAAAAGTAGTTTACGAATACTTTTATGCTCACTTTAAGCCCTATCTTTCTGAAAACCAACACGGATTTCTAAAAGGCAGATCAACGATTTCTAACCTGTTGCTATACAAAAACTATATTTGCTCAGCTTTCGCGCGTCAGGGTCAGGTAGACGCAATATATACTGACTTTAAAAAAGCATTCGACAAGGTTGACCATAATCTTCTGTGTCAAAAGCTATCTTCACTCGGGGTGCACGGTAATCTGCTCAGGTGGATAAAATCTTACCTCGAGAGGCGAAGTCAACTTGTGATCTTGCATGGCTATAAATCGTCACCGATTAGTGTAAAATCAGGAGTTCCGCAAGGCTCCCATCTCGGCCCATTGCTCTTTGCTATATTTATAAACGATCTTGCTACAAGTATCACTAGTCCTTGTCTATTATACGCCGACGACCTCAAAATCTTCCGTACCATTGACAGTACTTCTGATTTTTCTGCTCTTCAGAATGACATTAATCGTATTATCAAATGGTGTGATGATAATGTGATGTACTTAAATGTTGATAAATGTGTATCGATAAGTTTCAGTAATAAAAAAGTAAAAGCCACCTACAATTACAAAATAAACGATATACAATTACCTCTCAAAAGCTCTGTAAAAGATCTAGGTATTATATTTGATGATAAGCTGTCTTTTCGTGAACATTTTGGCTATATAATTAATAAAGCACTCAGAATGCTAGGTTTTGTAATACGCTCAAGTAAGAATTTTAAGTTCAGTAATAGTTTCATCTATATCTACAAATCGCTGGTCAGAACAGTTCTTGAGTATGGTGCAGTAATTTGGTCACCGCACTATCAATTACATGATAATAATATTGAGCGTGTCCAACGCAAGGCGTTAAAGTATCTATGCTTCAAATCTGGCCTTAGACGCACGGTCAATAACTATGAGCAGAGACTCAAAAAATTTCAGTTAACTTCTCTGTCAAACCGTCGCAAGCGCCAAGACCTACTTACACTTCATAAAATTATACACTCTCATATTGACTGCCCTTCTCTTGTTTCTCTCCTTTCCTTAAATACAAGACCCAACCCTAGACATCCGATGGCCTTTCAACTAAAAACGTTTAAGAACAACACCTCTTTTTTCAATCCTATTGTTCGCATGTGTAGACTATATAACGAGTACTCTTCACGCAGTTCTTGCCAGTTGGACGTTTTCAACAGTAACACATCTAATTTTTGTAAAAAAATAAACGAAACCATTTAATTTAGGAATTAGTAGTAACTAAATAAAAAAAACAAAAAAATTTATACAAAAATGTTGTTACCGTAAGACAACATTTATAACATAATTTTTACTTATTTTATATAATTACATAATAACCTATACGTTATTTTTGATAACAGTACGATTTAGTTTCTCCGTGTACGCATGTAATTGAGATACAAACTTAATTTATCACATATTTTTTTAAGACTTATTGTTTATAAGTGTTTGTGTTTTGTTTGTGTACCTTATGAATAAATAAATAAATAAATAAATAAATAAATAAATAAATAAAGGGACTCAATTACTGATAACATTAAAAATAAATTGTTAAATTATATATTTCAGTACTTTATAATCATTAATATAATCATTGCTATCATCAATTATCTTCTGGGTTAGAGAAGTTACGATTAAAATACACATTTGAATTTTTTCATAATCCATATTTAGAAAGATAGGTACAAGAGATTAATTTTTGTCGAAACATGCAGATCGTATTTGGTGGGGAGATGAGAACATTAAAATAATCACATCTGTTTGAATTTAGAGCCGAAATCTTACCGAATATATACATTTGAACTATTGCTCCGTAGTGAACGGAAAGAATACCTGAAGCCATAATTATTACAAAGGATCTTTAAGCTTCCATCAGGCATTGGAGTTTCGCCAGAATTCAATTAAACCCTCAACGCGGGCGTGACAACTTCCCAGTGACATTAGCGTGACAAAACTGTATCGCTGTTGGAATTGCTTAAAAAATACACTACAGTTTTTATTCATAAGGTACACAAACAAAGCACAAACTATTAAAAACAATGAGTCTCAAAGAACTATGTGATAAATTAAGTTTGTAGTTATACAAAAATAATATATAGGTACTTAACATAGGTAAAAATTACGATACGTATGTTATTATACGGTAAATTATTAATGAAAATTCCCTGTTCTTATCGACCAAGCCTAAAACCTTTAGTGTAAATGTACACAACGCGTTTTACCATCATTCCACAGAGATTAGTAAAAAATAATAGTTCAAAAATCATTCAATTTATACGTCGCTAACAAACCTACAGCACCGTGACGATACATGACAGTGCATGACAAACTGTTATTTGGTAGCGTTCAGTTGAAAATAAATCTATTGAAGCCTTTAATAAAACTAATTAAGCGTTTTTACTGTGCCTATAGCTCGAATAGCATTGTATACGTGATTATACACTTTAGCTGGAACAATATCCTTTTGTAGCAGGTGTAATATTCAATTTGTTATTAAAAGAAAAGAGAGGAGTAGATATAGAGTATGGACGATCTATTGGTGACTCTGGTTTTATCAATTTCTTTTTAAATATAAGTTATATTAAATACTGTCTATCGTTTACGCGAGTAGTGCGCGCGTCTGTTAAATAAGCATAAACATTTTTCTATAGTTATCGTGAGTAGTACACATTTGAATAAAACACTTCAACGGTTTAAAACGCGATATATTGGTTAAATTTATTTGAAAATGATTTTTAGCTTCGGCCCGACGTTTCGGATGCTTTGCAGCAGCCGCGGGCACGGGGGGACAGGATTTGTCTAGCTATAATTCTCTCGTCTTAGCCTAGCATACATCATAACATTACCAAATGCATTGAGAATTGCTGAACTAAGAAATCTACAGTAAAAGAATTCAAAATCGTCCACTAATGTCAGTTGTAAATCAAACTTTAATTTGTCACTCCGTTGTTCGCGCGACGTGTATTGTCACGCGTCGAATGACAGACTAATTGTTGTCACTTCATTTCACTGATTTATTCATGGATTTATTACAATGGCGGCAATTCAAACTGCGTCGGCGATGTAATAATGCTGGAGTGACTGCACTATGTCACGGGAATTCGCACTAAAATATGAGACGGTCGTAAATTCGGACGCTTGTCTTTTGTAATAAGCAATTGAATCGCTTAGTATGAATAAATAGATTGAAAAACAAACGACAGGCGAAAATGACACGATTTTTGAGCTATATCAATACTCTAGCTGTGTTAGCGACTTCGTCCGCGTAAAATAGTTATTTTGGGCTTCAAAATTAGTTTTCTTAAAGTTTAAGCTGTTACAAAAACACAAGTTAATCTTAAATTTATATCTTTTGGGTATCTAGGAACCGTTTTCGCAGCGTACGCGTCGGAAACCCTCAATGGTAATTTTCCCCTTTTTTATCCACATTTCTCGCTGTTTCTATAATAAACTTGCTTAATAACCTATATCACTTCGAATCAGTAGTTTCTGAGATTAGTGCGACAAACAAACAAACTCTTCAGCTTTATATATTAGTATAGATTTACAAGTCTCTTTTAATCATTATAACTAACCAACATGCTGGGCGTTATGCAAAGTCGCCAGATTAATGGTATAATTTTATTTTCTATTCTAGAATATTGCTTGTAATAAATCTATTGTCGCACACTGCGTCGATTATTTTTCATACGGATTGTCGAAGAAATATGACACAAAACAATATGAGAACGTATCAAATATTACGTATTCAAAAGCGAGTGGAGACATATTGTTAATATTATCTAGAAATTGAATTGAAACCTTGCATAGATCACAATATCGAGTAGAAGAAAACAGCATTGTTGAGATCTGAAAGGATTGTGTAATACTCCAGAATTGTAGGTTTGTAGTGGGGGCGTAGGAAACCTTAAGACGTTTATTTATTTAGTATGGTACATCAACAGATCACTTACATGTAATTCATTATACTTAACATCACAATAAGTTAAAATACCTATGTAGGACCCAATTACTGATGTACACAGCATTGTTAACTCAAAATTAGTGTTTCGAAATATTTAGAGTACAGAATTCGAACCTAATTATAATAAAGTGTCTATAGTCGCAATACTTAATTTTAAATCGTGTAAAAGAATCAAAGTAAGGATCAGCGTCGGTGTCTCGCGTGACATTATTAAGGGTCTCACATATACAGTACAATGGACGG